GGGCCCTCTGCTGATGGCAAAGGGCTCGCACCTGAGTCAATAAGAGCCTTGTCAAAAACGGACATAAGAAACCTTGCCGCCCCTGGTTATCTGCGGGACTCCTACAGTTACCTGAGTGGCCCCCGTTTACTGAGGGGCACTGGTTATTGATGGGGTCCCTGATTACTTGAGGCCATCTGAGGGCCCTTTAAGGCCATCTGAGAGCCCATTGAGGTCATCTGAGGGCCCCTTAAGGCCTGGTTACCAGAGGGGCCCATGGTCACCTGGTGGACCCTTGATCAATTGAAAACCCCTGGTCATCTGAATTGCCCCTGATTACCTAAAGGGTCCCTGATCACTTGGATTCAGTGACATAGCAAGGGAGCGAGGGGGTACGTGCCCGTTCTCGGGTTTAGGGTTTCTTCGAAACCGAGGGGCCCTGTGGCGCCAGTTGGTAGCAGAGGGTTCGCGCTGGCCGCACTTCAACTCGGAAGGACACCACAAGGCTTGTGGGGGCACGTTATTGGCTCCTATGGAGCCACAATTATCTTCGTAAAGGCCCAATGCCGGTTTCTGAGAGACCTCGCCGGCCGCCCAGGGCCCTAGTAACGGCCAACGAGGGATTGGCTGCTATGGCTCCACATCCGTATGTGATAGACACACGGTCCACACCAGAGTTTCTAAAGACACCCACAACGGCAACTGCGAGGCCCCTCGCGCCACCTGCAAGGGACCCCCCACCAGCGCATCTTAACCCGCGCCGTGCTGGGGGGGGGCGTTTTTACGCCCCCCCCCCTCAGGTTTTTCGCGAATATCTCAAAAACGGCGGCGCGCAGCGCCGCCGTTTTTGGTACACGTGTTCCTACATCATTTCCGCACATGTTGTGAAAATTTCAGACCTAGGCCGTTCAAGGTCAGGTCACCAGGTCACGTCAAGTGACCTTACCTCAGAAAAAGTTCAAAGGCTCGCTATAGCTACACCGACTGAACGATCACTTTGAAACTTTCAGCGATTGATATGAGTAACAGTATGTATAAAATGTATATCTCGGATTTTTGATATCTGTGACCTAAGGTCAGGTCAATTTTGCGACCTCTCCATTATAAGTCAATGGGAGAAAATTGAAATGCGCCTCTTTTGGACGAATATCGTTCAAAACGCTCTCAAACATCGGTTCATAGGTAAACATGACACACTGAATAGGAAAAATGCACCAGTGACCCCTCTGTGTGCCCCTGAGGTCATCTCAGGTCATGATTGGTCGCCAGCAGTTTTTTGGCTATAACTTTTGATAGAGACGTGCTAGAGCGGTGAAAACACGTCAGATGTGTTCAGCTCGACGATACGGATCGACTGATATGCAACATGACCCTTTTCGGTCAGGTCATGACCTTGACCTGAGGTCAAATTTTCAAAATGACCTTTCAAGGTCAACGAATAGTTCATTCGACGCGTCTCGACGAGAGGAACACGATGCTGGCAAAAGTAATGTCATGGCGCTTATGAGTCAAAAGTTATTGACGAAAAAACGTTTTTCGTAAAAACGGCTATTTTTGGAGTTTTTGCCCTCTGGAGGCTAAACCGTTGACCTGAGGTCAAATCTGAGAACATTACTCAGAAAGGTCTGTAAAAGGGCTATCGAATGCGCTTTTCCGCGGCGCTGTAGCTCTATCGGTTCCCGAGATAGCCGTTGGCAGTTTCCAAAATGTTGAAATAGTCAACATTTTACCTTTGGTGACCTCTGGTGACCTGACCTTTGACCTGACCCAAAAAATGACCGAAGTGTTTTCGTCCTTATTTTTGACGCTCTTTCGATTGCCGCTTACCGCGTGTCGCTACGTGGCCCAGGAGCCGAGTTAGACGGGGGGGGGGGCGTGAAAACGCCCCCCCCCCCCCAGCACTCGGCGGAAAGTTCAGGCCACCAGCACGGCGCGGGTTAAGGGCCTACATCGGCGGCTCTGAGAGTCCCCACACCGGCGCCTCTGAGGGCCACTTACCAGTGACTCTGAGGGCCTCTTACTAGCCTCTGAGTGTCCTTGTCAGCCTATGAAGGGCCACTTTCCACTTGCAGGCCATTTTGCAGGGCCACACACATGCCAATGATGGCCCCACCAGTGTCTCTAAGCCCTAAGACCCCGCAACGGCGCCTGTGAGGACCCAACACCAGCGCATCTGACGGCCTTTCACTGGCACCTCTGAGCGCGCCACACACCGGTGACTCTGAGGAGCTCGCTCGCTTCGCTCGCTCGTAAAATACCATGTAAATTAGGCATTAGTTTACATAAGCACACTCCTCGGGCATAAATGATACTTTTGCTTGCCAATTTTCCACATTTTCTCATGCAAAGACCGTTTTAAAGAGACCCGTCTGCCAGTGAGACTGGACCCACCGTGCCTCCCTCCTCTCATCGAAAGGCCCTGGATACATCCTTGCCTGAGCTTACCCCGGGCCCCCGGGTGACTCGCGGGCCCGGGGTCAGGTGACCAGCAGGTGACCCCCTCTTGGGCGAAATTCTGGGTACGTGTCCGACATGCATCGTACAGTTGATTTGATTCATTGGTTAAACATTAAATATAAGTTATAAGCTGGATCTCTAGTCTGTGATCCCGCATCGTATCAGATATATTGACATTTCATGTCGATGTGCCTAAAAAAATATGCGAATATACATGAAAAAGGAGTGCTGCTCCCGCTCCTACACATCCGGGCCAAACAGTGGCCGGCCAAACAGTGCTTCAAGCCAGTTAGCCACCCGTGGCCGGTCGGCCGGCCGGCCGGCAGTCAGTCGCTGCCCGGGGCTGATTTCTGAGGGACTTGCAAAAATGTTTATTAATGAAATGTTTTACGTAATAAATTAGATGATTAGGTATATGTACCGGCTCTGAGTCGCATTTGAGAAAAAAAAAACATGCTAGCGTAAAAATATATATGTTTTGAAAATTAAGCTGGTACCGAAATAATTGTTTTACCATGCATTGACAAACCAATTGCTCAAGCTTTAAACCAACCGAAATATAGCCCCGTGGGCCGTTTTTTTTGGGGAGGGGGGCCTTTCGGCATGGGGGCCCAGTTCGAAGGTCGTGCCCCCCCCCCCCATTCAAAAATCCTGTGTGCGCGCCTGCATATTAGTAGACTTCACAAGTCAGCGAGGGTATTGGTCTGCACACGTGCGCGTGCTTACCCTTTTTAATGACATGTTCCGATTGCTTTGGATTGCATCTTGGGTAGGTTAAAGGGACTATCCCACCTTCTAAAATGTTGTTAAAACCAGTTAAATTGTGCCCGACTTTATAGATTGGATGACCAGGAACACGGTTCTGGCATTCATTTTTCATTAAACATCTTAGGCTTCCCATATTCCAAACACAAACTTTCAAATATGTGACGTCACAGCCCAAAATTACCTCCTTCCCCAGGCCACATTACTGCCATAAAGCTGATTCTTTTTACTCTGTAGGCACCACAACAAAGTTCAGACCAAGTTTTAAGCGATTTTTCAACGAACAAACCCATTTAAATCAGAATGACTAAACGAGGTGACGTCACACTAACGGTCGCTCCATGTTGAAGATAGGGCCTTGTACAAGGCCCATTTTCAAATGAAGGGAACGAATTTCTTCAACACCAAGAGGCCGCGGGGGTTGCAACCTAGATAGATAGTGGTTTCTGAACCTCGCCGCAGACTTGGCTATCTCAACTCAAACCCCATGTTAAAGGTGGGATAGTCCCTTTAAGCCAAGGTATCGCCTTGCAGTTATGAAGCTTCCAAATGTTGACGAGGGCAGCGGTCTGCTAGTGCGCACGTGCGGACCCGTTTACCTTAGCTCGAATCCAGTAGCGGCGGGACACCTTCAATTAAGGGGGGTGGGGGGCACTGCCGACTTTTGGTCCCATTCTTTCCATGCAACGCCCATAGGGCTAGTGTTAAAATTCCCAAATCAAAGGGGGGCATGGTGCTCCGGTGCCCTCCCCGTTCCGCCGCCTATGCTCGAATCAACCTGACAATAATTATTATTTCTTGTGAGCATGCCCTCAGCGTGTAACGCCCACGGCTTACTTTGTATCTTGTATATGGAGTTCTGAGTTCAGAGTTTCGTGAAGTTCTGAGTAAACTTCACCGGCCATATTGCCCCTGCTACTTGCTAAATTTGATACTTTGACTTGTAGATATTTGCAGACATTTGAATCCACATTGACTCAAGGCAAACCAACCGAGCAAATGGTATATGTACAATACGGATTCTTGCGTCCGTTGGTGTTCCCAACTTCCCATCACCCACGAATAGCAACGAATGTAAGAAATAAACTTCAGCGTTAACAGGCATAGGCATGTCCTCTTTGTAATGCAATAAATAATGCAAGATGCAATAATGCAATAATGCGGCTTGCGCGTAAGCCGCCTGGCCAATGTTTTCACCAACCGGCCCTTATTTCCGGCCGCATTTTTCAATGCGATTTTTGTCACGGTCGAAATGGTGGGCGAACGCCCGATCTGGGACGATCAGCAACGCTGCCAGGAGCGTTGCTGATCGTCCCAGATCGTCCCAGTCCGGCGCTGGTGCTTATCCCACCAGCGCCGGACTGTGCAGGGAGATGTCCCAACTGATCAGGAATGACACGCTTTGTCATTTCAGCCTCACTAGCATGGCGACTGTCTGGTTCAGCTTCCCGAGAAAGAAATTTCTGACCTTTTTGCGACACTGTGGACAATCTTTGTAAAACTCTCCGTAGCTCGGTAGGTATGTACCTACTCATGACCCGAGGTCTGTTGGCGATCTCATGTCCCGCGGTCATGGACTGTTCACTGCGTTGGTGCGGCCAGAACCGTCATCCCTTTAGGGTTGAAACGATTAGGGACCGGCAAGTGTTGTCATAGGTAGAGGACAAAACTTTTTCCCGGACCCTGTACTTGCATTGAACGAAGACTTAAATGAGTGATGTCCCTGTCGGAGAGTGCGGTATGCTCGTAAAATCCTGGCTACGACCCTGATGCTACTGTGGTGCTTGCTCCGCCGCCAGGGCTGGGTGACGTGTGTGACGACGTGTCTGCGGTGGCTGCCTGCTGCCTGGTGGCCTCAACGGAGTGGCTGGTGCGCCTCCTTCCAGCGTCGGCCGTGGCCGCTCTTGTGCACACATTGTGGCACTCTCTCACAGAGCTGGATGAACTGATGACCTCGACGCCGTCAGTGCTGCAGCTGCTGGCGACGCTCAGCTGCCGGGCCGAACTGGCTGCAGACAGGTGGGTTGTTTGCAGTGGCTGCTGGCGACGCTCAGCTGCCGGGCCGAACTGGCTGCATACAGGTGGGTTGTCTGCAGTGGCTGCTGGCGACGCTCAGCTGCCGGGCCGAACTGGCTGCAGACAGGTGGGTTGTCTGCAGTGACAGACAGCTGCAGACAGGTGGATCATTTTCGTACATTGATAGCGTCGAGTCCATCGCTACGTCTGCATCTGGCCAGCCAGATATACTAGGTCGACTATTTAGTAATGGAAGTGTCTCTAGCAATTCAAAGTTTTTGCACGTGCACACATTTTTTGGTGTCATCACGTGCGCCGATCTTTTTTCTATCCAATAGTGAAGACCAAGGCCCTAAATACAAGGTTGCACGGACTAATTTCTACTAAATCTACCAGAATATAGTTTCACGGTTGAATATTTTAATAACTATTCAATCAAAACTTCTTTATTATTTTCTCGTTATCATTTATCAGCGATTTTATAAATTGACTTTCAATTTGCTTGCCTTTTACTGGCAAAATAACTTTCTAGTATTGGGTCAACATAGTTGTGTAGCAGTAGGAACCATATCTGGCAAAACCCCAATGCCTACATACAGCAGAAAAGCAGCCACCAGGTGTCGCCACAGTCGCCACTTTGTCGCCACACAGATGTCGCGCGCGTCGCCAATCGCCACACTACCGATTTCCATAAGGACGCATATGTACGGATATGTATTGGAAAGTCGCCCTTAAGGATTACGCTTACATCCTTTGCTTATGAGGTCGGTGGTTGGAAATTGGGAGGGGCTCAGCTATTTTCGACGACGGATATGGCTTTATCACATGATGAGGAACATGCTGATAAGCGTTTTATGTGTCATAACAGCACATAAGTATTTTTAATCATTTTTCAAAAATAGCCGTTCTGCCGTATCTTTCAGTGCAAGGTGCCGTCGGTCATCCCCGACGTTACGTCACGCCGGGGATTGCCAGATATTCCTACTAGACTTCGACGCCCCCTGGTGAAGACCAGGGGCCGTATTCACGTCGACTTCGTAAGTCAATTTTCTTTCGTAAGTATAATTTGGTATTCATGTCGACACTTCTTAAGTTTTTTCTTACCAAATGTCTGGATATCTACAAAAATCGGTATTCACGTCAAAATTCGTAGGAATATCTTAAGAAATTCGTAAGAAGCGTTTGGTGCATTGACCTTTGCCTTAATCATTGAGATTTAGGGATACTCCTTGTAGGGATTTACACAACTATCCATTGTATATAATTGATAGAGACAAGTAGAAAAACACGGAACAAATAGTGCATGGACGCGTTTCGATTATTAAATCTTCATCAGCATGACATACCCACAAAGAAAACAAGATATCTTGTTTTCTTTGTGGTTATGTCATGCTGATGAAGATTTAATAATCGAAACGCGTCCATGCACTATTTGTTCCGTGTTTTTCTACAACTATCCATGCATTTGTGCATTTCATTTTAGTGAAACCAGCAAGACGCCTTTTGGGGCGACAAACGAGCCAGCGCGCGAGTGAGCCCCCCCCCCCCCCCCACATGCACTGTACAGAAGTGCGAGGGACTTCCAAATGTTCCAAAAATGCGCCACTGTTAAGTGTTGGGGGCGCCCCTCTTCTACTGGGCAAGCCCAACTTCTGCATGAGGTGCCTTATTTCTTGACGTTGATGGTCATGTACTTTTAGTGGATGGGGAAGCACCTATACCCCCATACATATAGAAAGTTACATCACTGGTGGGGTCCGTAAGACCCCCCAGTCTTTTGGCCGCTGATCGGCTTGGCCGCTGACCAAACTTGAGCGCAATCAGCCCAGCTGTTCTTGAGATGTAGAAGCGGCACCCTGCACGTGCGCACGTGTAAAATGGTTCAAACTGGATTTTGCCCGGTACCCTTTGCACCGGTCCCTATAACCGTGTGCCAAGTTTGAGTGCAAACGGTCCAGGCGTTCTCGACATCTGGAAGCGACCCCTGCTCGTGCGCACGTGCAGTAGCACCTCAACCGTGACATATGACAACGCATTTCCCGGTAGGTGCCTACCCACATGCCAAGTTTCAGCACAATCGGGCCGGTAATTGCCGAGTTATTGTAATAAGAACAAGCGTGACACCTGTTTGTACTTTGCACGTGCAGCGGGTGGTCACTCACATGAATCAAGAGTACCCGATGTTTAGTAGAAGGGCTACAGCTACCCTAAAAAAAATTACCGCAAGTCAAACGTCTTAATGCAGTGGTTGCTGAGATAAAAGCCCACTTCGAGAAATTGGTAGTCTCAAAAGCGCTACTTCTGCAAAACAGCTTGGACGCCCTTGACTTCTCACGTGGCACGTGCCACGATGGTCAATTAGATGCATCAAGATAGTAAATTGCGGGTTAGAAGGGACATGGGGCAGCCCAGCAAAAAGACCACAGGTCAATCAGTCCAGCGGTTGATGAGATATAGGCCTCCAAAAGCATTACAGGCCGGGCCGGGCCGCTCATACTGATATTTTCCCGTTTTATTGAAAAGACTTCGCTTCACTCGCTCGCTGGTAATAATTTTGCTCAATAATAACAGCCATTCTTAGTCCAGACAACCGTTAGTGTCAATTCTTAAAATAATTCGTCATTTTAGTCCTAGCCTACTGCACTGATATATCGTTGCGTCAGTTTACGACAGCTCGGTGAGTATTCGTAAGTCCACCATACCGATAACATTATGTTCTTACGAAAAACTTAAGAAATTCTTAAGATGAAACGACGTGAATCGCACTTACGACATTCTTACGAGAATTCTTAAGAAAAGGTCGACGTGAATCGCAAACTGTCTACGACAATTTTTTTATTCGTAAGATATTTTTGCTGTCGACGTGAATACCAAATTTTCGTAAGAAGTAGGTCGTGCGTAAGAAAATTCTTACGAAAATGATCGACGTGAATACGGCCCCAGATGTCTTTAGCTGCATTTTACTCTGAGCTATCGATGTTTTTCGAGACCACCCAAACCTTCGGCGCACGACAAAAAAAGGAGCCTGACAATGGCCAAAATCGTGCGCCAGGGCGAGATCACCAGGGCTCAGTGGCCAAGTGTTATGGCTACACGAATAAAATAATGTAAGTTGCTATATTTTCATAAAAACAATACATATAACACAATAAATAACAGCACCCACTACTCCACATAATCGCCTCCTAGCACCACACCCTACCCTATCCCACACCTACCATCTACCCTACCCTACCATCTACCCTACCCTTACACTACCCTACCCTACCCCTACACTACCCTAACCTACTCTACCCTACCCTACCCCTACCCCTACCCCTACCCTACCCTACCCCTACCCCTACCCCTACACTTCCCTACCCTACCCTACCCCTACCCTACCCTACCCTACCCTACCCTTACACTACCCTACCCTACCCTACCCTACCCTACCCTACCCTACCCTACCCTACCTTACCCATACCCTACCCTACCCTACCCTACCCTACCCCACCCCACCCTTACACTACCCTACCCTACCCTATCTCTATACACTACCCTACCCTACCATACCCCTACCCTACCCTACCCTACCCTACCCCACCCTTACACTACCCTACCCTACCCTACCCTATCTCTATACACTACCCTACCCTACCCCTACCCTACCCCTACCCTACCCTACCCCTACCCTACCCTACCCTACCCTACCCTACCCAACCCTTACACTACCCCACCCTACCCTACCCTACCCTACCCTTTCACTACCCTACCCTGCCCTACCCTTACACTACACTACCCTACCCCACCCTACCCTACCCTACCCTACCCCTACCCTACCCTACCCTACCCTACCCCTACACTACCCTACCCTACCCTACACTACCACCGACAGTCCAAGTTTCAGCTAAATCGGCCCAGAAACGGCTGAGATATTGCAAAAACAAATTAATTGTATTTACTGGCGAATCCCCTTGGCGAGCGGTGCCTTGTGTCGGCCTTCGTTGTCAAAGGTCAACGACCTCCCGGCTCTGATGCTTTTGACTCAGTTTTGCAAGCGAACAACTGAGCCTAAAGCACGTGCACTCTGCTCGGCGCCGGTCGCGGCCCCACCACGTGCACACCGCTGAACCCACACCCTCGAAAATTTAATACGACAAATGAATGCACGCGCTCGACTTGGCATGAAAATTTCACCCCCGTAGCCCTTACCGTTCCCGAGCAATAGCCTGTTTTTGCCGATTCTAATGCTAACCCTATGGGCTATGGCGCACATGAGCACGCGCCACGGGCGCACCCCCGGCCGCATCGTGCCCAAAGTTTAATATGACCTGTTCAATTACGTGACCCACGAGTGGCAAAAATTTCACCCTCCTGCGTCCATCGACGCGGGCGCCGCAATAAGCGTTTTTGGGAGTAACCCCGACGGCGGCGGCGTGGGCGGCGGCGGACTTTTTAAGATTTATAATAGTAGACTAGATGTACAGGTTTACGCGATAACTGTATGTTTTGATACGTATTTAACGGATGCATTAGTTTGGGTGTAGAAACTTGCATTTTTATTGGTATTATTTGTGTAGAACTGGGTAACTGCTTTTAATTGAACTGTAAAGTATGATGGTGATGCATGCGAGTTGTTCGAGCCCTTTGTAAGTTAGGATGTTACTCAATTTAACCCTACCCTACCCTACCCTACCCCTACCCTACCCCTACCCTACCCAACCCTACCTTACCCTACCCCTACCCTTCCCTACTCTACCCTACCCTACCCTACTACCCTACTCTACCCTACCCTACCCTACCCTACCCTACTTCCCTACCCTACTCTGCCCTACCCTACCCTACCCTACCCTACCCTACTACCCTACCCTACCCTACCCTACCCTACTACCCTAACCTACCCTACTACCCTACCCTACCCTACCTAACTACCCTACAACCCTACTGTTGTAACTTAGAGTTCGTTTAGTTTAATTCCTGTATTCGAGTGCCTTACATATTCAAGACCAAATTATAACACCACT